TTGTGAAATATATGAGTGAAAAAAGTATGAATGAACTGGATTAAAAATAATTATGATTACCCATACCAAGGGGTGGAACATTCCAGGTGTCCCCAAGTCCCCACAGGTTTCTTCTAGGCCAGTACCCCTTCCACCTAGAAGAAAACATCATCTTAATATTTATGGAAATTATATTTTTGCTCTTTCTTCACAGCTTCACAGTGTGTGTACACATTCCTGTTATATACCGAGTTTTTTATAGAAGAAATAATTTTGTGGTATTTGGTGTACCTTCGTGCCTTTTTACTTCCTGTGATCATTATTATCTGTTTTCGTGTCATGTTGTGGCACTGGTGTACTACTCCACTGCATAGACGTACTCTAAATTTGAATCCATCCAACTGTTGGTAGCCACTGGAGTCATTTCCATTTTTAACTATGAAAAAGATCATACTCGACTGTAAAATATTACTGTACATGAAACCTAGTTCACCGTGTGCATGAGTTTCTCCAGGCTGCGTTTCTAGAACTAAAACTGCTGACTGATAAACAATGCGTATCTTCAACTTCACTATGAGTTGCTAAGCTCCTTTCTGTTGTGAGGGTTCCAGTTTTCCCTCCCATCAGCAGTGCGTAAGGCTCCATGTTCTTTCCAAGTGGTGGGAGTTTTCAACATTAAAAATTTTTGCCGGTCATGTTATTTTATTCATGGTTTATTTTGACTTTAATTTTCACCTGCAGTTTGAACAATTTTTCATAAATTTACTGATCACTTGGTTTTCTTTTTAGACCGTTCAAGTCTTTTACCCATTATTCTTTCCCCACCCCCACATATAAGTGATACCATACAGTTTTTAACTGTCTCTGTCTGACTTGCTTATTTCACTTAGCATAATACCCTCAAGATTCATCCATGCCGTAGCAAAAGGCAAATTTTTCCTTCTTTTTATGGGTGAATAACTTTCCATTGTACGTATATACAGCAATTTCTTTATCCATTCATCCTCCCAGGGGCACCTAGGTGGTGCCCATACTTTGGCTATTCTGAGTAACGCTGCAATGAACATGGGAGTGCAGATAGATACTAATTTAGTAAAAACCATTGACTTGAACTGAAGCATTTAATCTGCTCCTGTACAACAAAATTACTGACATGTTTGAGTTAAAATCTAATACTCAATCCCCTTTGCCATATTTTTTCCTCTCTGAGCTCATTATCCTTTGATTGGGTTATATTTTGTTATTTAATCTTTTCCTGTCAACTAGGCTGGAAGTTTTTAATTTCAATTATGCTTCTGTAATTTTGACAATTAGTTTAGAAATTAAAACATGCCTTCTTATCAAAGTTTAATTTATCAGAGTTCCATCAGGGAAACATAGTCAGTAAAAGTTTATCATGTATTTATCTACCTACCTATCTGCCTGTCTGTCTACCTACCTGCCTATAGGAAAAAAGATGTATCACAAGGCAAGAGACTGTCTAAGGCAGTGATGATGAGCAGGTCCAAAGGCCACAGGGCAGGTCGTCAGAGAGAAGAACGAATTTCTTCTCTTAATTGGATCAAGCTCAGCTTTTAAAACCATTCAAG